TAGCCCAATTAAATAACTGCTCCTATGAATTTAAAATAGATATACAGCATCTGCACTTATAATGATATAATTATGTCATGGACACCATACTACAATCAAGAGTAGAATAAAAAAGAATCCAGCAGTTTAATTTTCCTTTTTACATCCCTAAAATCTAGCACTTAGGCAATATAGTCAATGGTACTGTAACAGCGATGTATGGTGACAGATGGTAACTGCACTTGTGGCGATTATGGCATAACATATGAACTTGTCAGATAGCTTTGTTGTACACCTAAAACTAATGTGACACGTATGTCAATTATACTCAAATTTTAAAAAATGATAAAAAAACTAAATGCTAAAGGAAAAAAAAAAAAAGAAAAAAAGAATTCCTGTCAGCCAATAGTGTCCAGTGACTAACACCGATCTCTCTCATTTCCTTCTCTATAAGAGCCTTTCTGAAATCCATTTCAGCAAATACCCCTGTATAGCAGTTTGGAACACTGAAGCCTGAGTGGGTTTATCAATTTTAGATTTAACTCTGCGGTTTGCATGTTAATTACCCTCTGCTTTATTAAATACAAAAAATGTATTTCTAATTAGCTCTGAGCTGCTAGTCCTTCCTCAGTTTCAGTTTGTACTTTTTTTCCCTGGGAAAAACTTTTGAATGTCATTCAGAAAATTTAAGTATGATTGACAAATGCGTTCCATGGGGCTTGAGGGTATTAATAAGTCACTGCTTCAGAATATACTCTCACAGAAAGTTATTTTTACACAGAATTTGTGACTGGAATCTCTTTCTCTCTGTGTGAATGTATTGTGTGTTTCTGTGAGAGTCTATTATGTGCACTGTCCATTTGCATGTAATATTTAATGTAAGATTCACAGCTGCCTTGGAGATTTTATTTTCACTCTTCTTCTGACGAGAAAACCAAGAGTCAGAAAAGCTGTGCTCCTTTGCTCATTCATTCACTCAGTGAGTTCAACAACTTACTAATAACCCCGCGAGCAATGTTAAAGTGCTGTTTGTATAATTCACTGATTTTGAGATATCCACGGCGCACAGGTTTGGTTTGGGTTACTGAATGCCATTTCAACTGTACCTTTAAGAAATACTGTGTTCCATGCACTAAGCATTCCAGTTTAAAATAAGATACAGTCTATATCCCCAAAGGAATTACAGTCCTAGTACCTTGCTGTGGATGCCAGAGTGAATCCGCAGGGTGGTTAGGAATAGCACTCAAAGCTCATCTCCTTTCTCTCTCACTCTAATGCTTCTTTTAAAAGAGACTCTTAGGCAGCATGGTGTTTGGCAGAGCACCAGACTTGAAATAGGTCTCCCTGAGAATTCCTGATATTCCCTGTCAAGTTTACAAAGGCAGAATTTGGTTGTTGCGCCTGTTAGTTATTGCTCGAGACTGTAGTTAAGCAAATTAGTGACATCTTCCCTCTGGCAGGCACCTGGTTGCTTGCAATCCTGCTGCCAATCAAAGTCATCAGTGGGATTGGCTCAATGTGATGTATTTGCTGAAGCCAAATGAGTTGCTCTGGCTAAGCCAGACCCTTCCATTTTCTATTGATAAGCGCCAGTGTCTGTCCCATCTTAGACTCCTAGTTTGTGCCTCTTCTACTTAACCGCCTAGTAAAGGGTACGAAGGGCATCGGCATCTTCATTATGACCAACAATTCTTCCATTCATAAGCCAAAATGTTGTTTACTGTCAAGGAATGAACGTCTTAGTGGAAGTTGCTGAATACTGACTCTGGCATTCTCATTTTCTTAAGTATTCTCGAGGCTCTCCTGGGTGAGCCCTGTTCTATGTGGTTGTTTTTTCCTATAAGCACACAGGAACTGAATTTCTGTGATCCTTACACTTCTTAACTATAGGGGAAGAAAGATTAACTAGTGCACTGTGTTCTTATGTAGGGACAAAATCAGTGAACAGCTTGTCAAGAACAATATGCATAATGTTTTATAATAATAATGATGATGATGATGATGATGCCATTTATCCAACAGTATGACAACAGTAAAAGGTCTGTGCCCAAAATTCAGTATATTACTGCTTGATGTGGGGTGAGAACAGAACAAAATATTCTGAGAAATAGTATATATAATGATGCTCAAAATTAACCTCTCTGATTCCCAGGGTCTACTAGTGAGGTGGGAAACCCAATATGGGCTGGCTACACAATTATAAGATGTAGTGCAATTTCAGAAAGTTTAAATGTACTTGTGCCATGGTGGGGGTGACTCCTTTACTGAGGAAGCTGCCTCAAACTTCCCCATAATACATGCAGTGAGCTTAAACATGCAGACACTCACCTAGGATGTGTCTGGTGTGGAGCAGCCCTTCAAAACTGGTAGCTATTATTGTGCCAGGGGCAATATTTGGTTTCAGAAACCTGGCATACACAGGTGATAATGGGAATTAAATCAGAGAGTCACTGGACTTTCATCAGAGTCTCTATAATCCAGTCTCAACTTGATAATTTCTTGACTTAGGATTTATGATCCAATTTAAACTCTCCAAAATTAAGTCGTCTCATCTTGAAAATGAAGATAATACAGATTTTCTACCTCACAAGGATGTTCTATTTAAATGAGTTGATGGATGGTCTTGGTAGTCATTTTCTGTCTCCCAGCATCAAGAAAATTACTCATCTGGTTTCTATCACTAGAGCTTAGTTCTGCACCTTCTAGAACTTCATGAACATAGAATCATGTGGTATGGGTATGTGCTCTTAGAACTTCATGAACATAGAATCATGTGGTATGGGTATGTGCTCTTCATGGCTGGCTTCTTTAGCTCAACGCATGGCTTGCTGTAGATGCTGTTGGTTATTTTTTAACTACTGAGTAGTAATCCGATCTACTAATGTTCTGAGTTCGATTTACTAGTTTTCTAACTTCTTGGGATGGAGATGTAGATTTTGTTTTAACTTTACTTCTTCCTTTTTTATGTAAAAAAGCATTTAAAAGCCATACATTTTCTTCTAAGGACTGTTTTGGCTGTGTTCCAGAAATGTAGATACAGTGTTTTTACCATTATTCAATTCAAACTATTTTCTAGATTCCATTTTGATTTCTTCTTTGACGTATGGGTCATTTAGAAGTGTGTTGACTAACTTCCAAACATTTGAGGGTTTCCTAAATAATTTATTATTATGAATTCTGAACTTAATTGGTCAGAAAACAAAGTATGCTTCTTTATGGTTTAGAATAGGGTCTTTTTTTTTTTTAAGATTTTATTTATTTATTTGACAGAGATCATGAGTCGTCAGAGAGGCAGGCAGAGAGAGAGGAGGAAGTAGACTCCCCGCTGAGCAGAGAGCCTGATGTGGGGCTTGATCCCAGGACCCTGGTCATGACCTGAGCCGAAGGCAGAGGCTTTAACCCACTGAGCCACCCAGGCACCCCTAGAATAGGGTCTTTCTTAATGAATATTCCATGTGTCCTTGAAAACAATGTATCTAATCTGTAGTTGTTCAGTGTTGTATGAACATTGATTAGGTTGGTTTCACTGTTTGAATATTCTATATCCTCACTGGCTTTTTCCCCAACTTGTTCCATTAGTTACTGAGGGAAGATATTAAAAGTCAACTGTAATTGCCACTACTTTGCCCCTCCCCAACGCTTTTTGTTTCTGTCAGGTTTTGCTTCTTATATTTCAAATCTCTGCTATAGGTGCAGATACTTTTTTTTTCTGTTTTTTTTTTTAATTCATAATGAATTAGCCCTTTGTAATTTTAGAGTCTCTTGTTATCTTGCAATACATCCCCTTTGTTTGATATTAATACAAAAATTCCGGGTTTCATATATCTACTGTCTGCCTGTAATACTTTCGCCATCCTCTACTTCCAACCTATCAGTGCCTTTATTATTAAAAAAAAAAAAGTATCATATCAAAAGTACAGAGATGGGCCTTCCTGTTTTGTCCAGCCTGACAATTTCTAACTTTTCATCAGACTTTTTGATCATTTTCCTTTTAATGTAATTATTAGTTTGGTAAAAATTAAGTCTACTAACAATTCCTTTTTTCTTTTTCCTCTTTGTGATTTATTCCTTTGTTTTGCATTTTCTGCCTTATTTTGTGTTAAACTGAGCTTTTTGTTGCTGGTTTGTTGTTCTTATTTTTGTTATTTATTATTATTATTATTATTACTATTATTTGGTATCCCATCCTTTCTCTTTTATTGGCTTTGTGGCTATACCTTTTTGGTTTATGTTTATGCATCTTTAACTTATCATGTTTACATCAAATTTCTATTATATCATTTTGTATACAATGTGGGGCCTTATACTAGTGTAATTTTGTTTGCCCTATATCCCATTCTTCATAGTTTTATTGATATATGTTTACTTTGATTTCATAATACTGAATTTCATAATACATTTTTATTTTTCCTCTAAACTGTGAATGAACTTTGAGATGTTTAAGAAAAGTAAGAAAGCTAGTCTTTTATTTTTAGCCACATATTTACCCCTTTGAGTACTCTTCATTCCTTCTTTCCTATAACTTGACAATTCTATCTTGAATCAATTTCTTTAGATTGTGTAACTTATTTAGCAATATTAGCAGTGGGGATTGTAGAAATTATCTCACCTTTTGTTTAATGAAACTATGTTTATTTTTCTTCAGAACTGAAAGCTATTTCTGTCGGGTATAGAATGCCAAGTTGATGGTGTCCTACTTTCAGCATTGGTTGTTCTCTACCATTTCTCATGAGAAGTTGGATGTCATCCTTATTGTTCAGTTGTTATCTTTAGCAGTTGAGCTGGCTTTGGGTGGGTGGTAGCCTCAATGCATCAGTAGGGTTTTACATTATTCTTTGAGAAACTCCCTTCCCTAAATTCAGAATTTTCAGGAGAGTCAGATTCTATTTGGCATATGTGAGAACTTGAGGATTTTCTTGGAGTAACATATGTGGGTTTGCAATGATGTTCTTTGAACTCAAGCATGGGAAGGAGATGCAATAGTATCATAGACCTCATTGGGGCTCCTTTTCTCTCTTCAGACCTTTGCAGGAAACATGAATGCTGACAGCGTGATGCACCACAAGTTACTGCACTCAGTGAGAGCCCGCTTCGTTCGCTTTGTGCCCCTAGAATGGAATCCAAGTGGAAAGATTGGCATGAGGGTGGAGGTCTACGGATGCTCCTATAGTAAGTGTATGCATGAACCCTCGCACTGGTGTGTTGTGAGCAGCTTTCCCTACATGGTGCCAGCTTATCTACATTGAGATGGCAATCTCAATTGTTTTAAAGTCTTTCAAGTACCTAATAACTTCTGCACATTTGAAAATGTAAAAAACTCCTCTGTCTAGGAATGAAGGAGCTTTGTGGTGATAATATGATAAGAGCTTAACAACACCACAAAGGTCAAAGTTAAGAGCTCTTGGAGTTTGAATATCATTTGTCCTTGAAGTAGAATAGTAATTTGAGCTCCATTCTTTCCCAGAAGCGGAGTGAGGTATTATAAATTCACCCTTCCTTCAGAACCATGAGGGAACAAAGTTTCTCCCTCTTCACTTGTCCTAGAAGTGGAGGAAAAGGAACATTTCAACCCAGTGTAACCCAGGGAATGCTTCTTTCCTGGAATTATGCTAGCCATCCATTCATTTATGAGTTATTGGTACATGTGGAAGTGGTGCTCCATCTTGCAAATAACAAAGATTATAAATGTGAGTAGAGCTGGCAATCATTCAAGATCAAAGTAACAATTATGCAAGAAATGTAATCATTCCTATAATTCTCCCCTATATGTTGTCATCATTATAAATTATTTTTCATTTATTTATTTATTTTTATTAACATACAGTGTATTATTTGCCCCAGGGTTATAGGTCTGTGAATCATCAGACTTACACATTTCACAGCACTCACCGTAGCACATACCCTCCCCAATGTCCGTAACCCAGCCACCCTATCCCTACCCCCTCACCCCCAGCAACCCTCAGTTTGTTTCGTGAGATTAAGAATCTCTTATGATTTGTCTCCCTCCCAATTCCATCTTGTTTAATTTTTTCCCTCTCTACCCCCACGGCCCCCTGTCCTGCCTCTCAAATGCCTCATATCAAAGAGAGCATATGATAATTGTCTTTCTCTGATTGACTTATTTTGCTTAGTGTAGTACCCTCTAGTTCCATCCACATCATTGCAAATGACAGGATTTGGGGATTTTTGATGGCTGCATAGTATTCCATTGCATATATATAACACTTCTTCTTTATCCGTTCATCTGTTGATGGACATCCATTTTTTTTCCCCATAGTTTAGCTATTGTGGACATTGCTACTATAAACATTTGGGTGCACATGCCCCTTTGGATCACTACATTTGTATCTCTAGGGTAAATACCTAGTAGTGCGATTGCTGGGTCATAAGGTAGCTATGTTTTCAACTCTTTGAGAAACCTCCATGCTTTTTCCAGAGTGGCTGCAGTAGCTTGCAATTCCCACCAAAAGTGTAGGAGGGTTCCCCTTTCTCCACATCATCTCCAACACCTGTCCTTTCCTAACTTGTTAATTTTAGTGATTCTGACTGGTTTGAGGTGGTATCTCATTGTGGTTTTAATTTGTATTTCCCTGATGCCAAGTGATGTTGCACATTTTTTCATGTGCCTGTTGGCCATTTGGATGTTGTCTTTGCAGAAATGTCTGTTCATGTCTTCTGCCCATTTCTTGATCAGATTATCTGTTCTTGGGGTGTTGAGTTTGATAATTCTTTGTAGATTTTGGATACTAGCCCTTTATCTGGTATGTCATTTACAAATACCTTCTCACATTCTGTCAGTTGTCTTTTGGTTTTGTTGACTGTTTCCTTTGCTGTGGAAAACCTTTTGATCTTGATGAAGTTCCAGTAGTTCATTTTTTCCTTGCTTTCCTTGCCATTGGTGATGTTTCTAGGAAGAAGTTACTCTGGCTGAGGTCAAAGAGGTTGCTGCCTGTGTCTTCCTTAAGGGTTTTGGTGGATTCCAGGGTTCCTGGGTGGCTCAGTGGGTTAAAGCCTCTGCCTTCTGCTCAGGTCATGATCCTGGGGTCCTGGGATCAAGCCCTGCATCAGACTCTCTGCTCAGCAGGAAGCCTGCTTCCTCCTCCTCTCTCTTTCTGCCTGCCTTTCTGCCTACTTGTGATCTCTGTCTGTCAAATAAATAAATAAAATCTTAAAAAAAAAGATTTTGGTGGATTCCTATCTTACATTGAGGTCTTTCATCCATTTGGGTCTACTTTTGTGTGTGGTATAAGAAAATGGTCCACTTTCATTCTTGTGCATGTGGCTGTCCAATTTTCCCAACACCATTTTTTGAAGAGACTGTCTTTTTGCCATTGGACATTATTTCCTGCTTTGTTGAAGATTTATAGACTATAGAGTTGAGGGTCCATTTCTGGACTCTTAATCTGTTCAATCTTAATTGAACTATGGGTCTGTTTTTGTGCCAGTACCATAACTGTCTTGATGATAACAACTTTGTAATAGAGCTTGAAGTCTGGAATTGTGATGCTGCCAACTTTGGTTTTCTATTTCAACATTCCTCTGGCTATGTGAGGGCTTTTCTGGTTCCATATACATTTTAGGATTATTTGTACCATTTCTTTAAAGAAAATCGATGGTATTTTGATAGGGATTGAATTAAAAGTATAGATTGCTCTAGGTAGCATAGATATTTTCACAATATGTATTCTTCCAATCCATGAGCATGGAACATTTTTCCATTTCTTTGTGGCTTCCTCAATTTCTTTCATGAGTACTTTATAGTTTTCTGAGTATAGATTCTTTGCCTCTTTGGTTAGGCTTACTCCTATGTATCTTATGGTTTTGGGTGCCCTTGTAAATGGGATTGATTCCTTAATTTCTCTTTCTTCTGTCTTGCTGTTGGTATATAGAAATGCAAGTGATTTCTGTGCATTGCCTTTATATCCTGATACTTTACTGAATTCCTGTATGAGTTATAGCAGTTTTGAAGTGGAATCTTTTGGGTTTTCCATATAAAGTATCATACTATCTGCAAGGAGTAAGAGTTTGACTTCTTCTTTGCTGATTTGGATACATTTTATTTCTTTTTGAAGTCTGATTGCTGAGGCTAGGACTTCTAGTACTATGTTGAATAGCAGTGGTGATAGTGGACAGCCCTGCCGTGTTCCTAACCTTAGGGGAAAGCTCTCAGTTTTTTCCCTTTGAGAATGATATTTACTGTGGGTTTTTCATAGATGGCTTTAACGATGTTGAGGTATATACCCTCTATCCCTACACTTTGAAGAGTTTTGATCAAGAGAGGATGTTGTACTGTGTCAAATGCTTTTTCAGCATCTATTGAGAGTATCATATGGTTCTTGTTCTTTCTTTTATTAATGTATTGTATCACATTGATTGGTTTGTGGATGTTGAACCAACCTTGCAGCCCAGGAATAAATCCCACTTGGTTGTGGTGAATAATCCATTTAATGTACTGTTGGATCCTATTGGCTAGTATTTTGGTAAAAATTTTTGCATCCATGTTCATCAAGGATATTGGTCTATAATTCTCCTTTTTGATGGGGTCTTAGTATGGTGTTGGGATCAAGGTAATGCTGGCCTCATAAAATGAGTTTTGAAGTTTTCCTTCCATTTCTATTTTTTGGAACAGTTTCAAAAGAATAGGTATTAATTCTTCTTTAAATGTTTGGAAGAATTCCCCCTGGGAAGCCATCTGGCCCTGGGCTCTTTTTTCTTGGGAGATTTTTGATGACTGCTTCAATCTCCTTACTGGCTATGGATCTGTTCAGGTTTTCTATTTCCTCCTGGTTCTGTTTTGGTAGTTTATATGTCTCTAGGAATGCATCCATTTCTTCCAGATTGTCAAATTTGCTGGATATAGTTGCTCATAAGATGTTCTTACAATTGTTTGTATTTCTTTGGTGTTGGTTGTGATATCTCTTCTTTCATTCATGATTTTATTAATTTGGGTCCTTTCTCTTTTCTTTTTGATATGTCTGGCCAGGAGTTTATCAATCTTATTAATTCTTACAAAGAACAAGCTCCTAGTTTTGTTGTTTTGTTCTACCGTTCTTTTGGTTTTTATTTCATTGATTTCTGCTCTGATCTTTATTATTCCTCTTCTCCTGCTGTTTTTAGGTTTTCTTTGCTGCTCTTTCTCCAGCTCCTTTAGGTGTAGGGTTAGGTTGTGTATTTGAGACCTTTCTTATTTCTTGATAAGGCTTGTATCACTATATACTTTCCTCTCAGGACTGCCTTTGCTGTTTCCCAAAGATTTTGAATAGTTGTGTTTTCATTTTCATTTGTTTCCATGATTTTTTTCAATTCTGCTTTAATTTCTTGGTTGCCCCTTTCACTCTAGTAGAATGCTCTTTAGCCTCCATGTATTTGTGTTCTTTCCAACTTTCTTCTTGTGCTTGAGTTCTAGTTTCAAAGCATTGTGGTCTAAAAATATGCAGGGAATGATCCCAATCTTTTGGTACTGGTTGAGACCTGATTTGTGACCCAGGATGTGAACTCTTCTGGAAAGTGTTCCATGGGCACTAAAGAAGAATTTGTATTCTGTTGCTTTGGGATGGACTGTTCTGAATATATATGTGATGTGCATCTGTCCAGTGTGTCATTTAAAGCCTTTATTTTATTTCCTTGTCGATCTTTTGCTTAGATGATCTGTCCATTTCAGTGATGGGGGTGTTAAAGTCCCCTACTATTATTGTGTTATCATTGATATGTTTCTTTGATTTTGTTATTAATTGGTTTATGTAATTGGCTGCTCCCATCTTAGGGACATAGATATTTAAAATTGTTAGATCTTCTTGTTAGACAGACCCTTTAAGTATGATATAGTGTCCTTCCTCATCTCTTATTATGGTCTCTGGCTCTACATCTAATTTATATGATATAAGGATTGCCACCCTATCTTTCTTTTGATGTTCATTAGCATGGTAAATTGTTTTCCACCCCCTCACTTTATTTTATTTTTTAAATTTAATTTTATTTTTATAGTGTACCAAGATTCATTGTTTATACACCACACCCAGTGCTCTATGCAATATGTGCCCTCCTTAATACCCACTACCAGGCTCACACAAAACCCTCAGTTTGTTTCTCAGAGTTCACAGTCTCTCATGCTTTGTCTCCCCCTCTGATTTCCCCCAATTCACTTTTCCTTTCCTTCTCCTAATGTCCTC